GCGTTGTGGACGACATCGACTCTTCTCTCAGGAGGGACGGCGTCACGAAGTCGCTGCTGCAGTCGCTCTCGCCGCTGCTGCACCGCCCCCGTTGCTGCTCAAGCTGCTGGGCGTGCAGGTCGTTGTTGTTCCCGTTACCGGCGCCGCCGCGATGCGAGACTGCCGCCGCCGCCGCCGCCGCTGCTTGCGCAAAAGCGGAGCCATCGGCAACTGTGGTGACTTCGCAGCTACGGCTGCGGCTGTGGCCGCCGCGGTGACCCCGCCCGCCGCCGCCCCCGTCCGACATGGAGCCGGTGGACATGGCCGACGAGTAGGAGCAGGACATGGACCTGCCGCTAGTCCCGCCGCCTCCGATGACCCCGTCCTCCTCGTAGCGGTCCCCGCCCTCGTCGCTCATGTCGCCCTCGGCCGCGGGCAGCTCGTCGTCGTCGTCGTCCCCGTCCAAGCGGCCGCGGCGGTGGTCCTCCTCCTCCCCCCCGTGGACCGAGTCCTCGATGTCGTCGTCGATGTCGTCCCCGTGCAGAGACTCGTCGTTGTCGAGGCCCTCCCCGTCGTCCTCCTCCGACGAGCAGGTAGTGGCCTCGTCCATGCCCCGGTGGTACTCCTCGAGGTCGTCGAACTCTTCTCTACCGACCGAGAAGCTTCCCCCGTGGAGCTGGGCGTGGTGGTGGTGGTGGTGATGGGCGGCGGCGGCGGCGGCGGGGTCCTCCGCGAGCTGCTGCTGCTGGAGAAGCTGCCGCTGCTTGTGGATCACGGCCTGCCGGTCGGCCTCGTGCTCGCTGTCGAAGTTGCACACCGCGCTGTCCGCGAAGTGGAACCGGGCCGCGCGGTCGTGCGCCTTCGCCGCGTCTACCTCGGACTCGTAGACTCCGAGATAGAGCTTATATTTTGGCGAAAAAAGAACAGATGGTGCGGTGTCCGTTCCGCAGGACATTGGCGTCGGCGGTCGTCAACAACAGCAGCAGTGGCAACAGCAGAGCAGTGGAGGCGGGGAAATAAACGCTATTAATTGCCCCGTGTGTTTGGGTAACAAACCGCGTCTTTGAGGACTCTCCTTTTCGTTTTGATTCCTAGAAAGGTGTACCCACTTTTTTTTGGGTGGTACAGGTAGTATAATAGTCGGGGTGTATTAATAGTTGGCTGGTGACCACGGAAAGCGTCCGCGTCATTTGGACCAGAACGGACATTGAAAGGTATATTGACCGCAGAGACCGGAACGGTTTGTAATGTGAGCAACAACAACCACCAAGATGTGTGTTGCATGGATGCATGTATATGCATATGTGCACACACAGACGGGCGTACTTGACGCGTCATGAACACAGCAGGCCCGCGGGTGGCGGGGGTGCTAAAGCAAGAGTCGAGACACTTGAAAAGGTACCGCACCCCCGGCACAGCAGCAGTTGCAAAGAGAGCCCCATTTTCCAGGAGGGCGCGGGGTGAAGAAAAGCGGTGGAGGTGTAAGCAAGGAGGGTGAAGCCGCAACTTCTATGCATATTTCCGCCGGCGTGTGTGTGCTGGCCATGCAACCATGTATTGTCGAGTACAACCTGCAGGACCAAAAAACGGGCATGTTGGTTGATTTTCGGACCCAGCAAGTAGCCAGGTGCGTTGAAGTAGAGTCGAACGCGTTCGAGACAAGCAAAGAAAAACAACCAGTAACAAAAAACTAGAAGTAAATAGCGTTCGACGGCTACACACAGGCAAAGGACATCGGGCGCACGGGAACCATCTCCATTTCCACGCACGCATGCTCTCTCCTAAGATAACAATCGCTCGAGATTTGTGGCCGCTTCGAATGCACCCAACGCCTCTGAAATAAATTAACTGCGCGGAAAACATATATCCCCGCCGACCCTGGCTGCTCCGGATCAACTTGGACGACAAGCGGTGCGAACCCCAGCCTACCAGTGGCCAAAACTACCTGGAACGCGCACCAACTCGACCCGTTGCGTTACGAAAGAGATGTAAAACAAGTTGCGTGACATGTCTCAGCGGTCCACCACGCAGCGAGAGAGACCGGAGGTAAGAGATAGAGGGCAAACACAAACGAGGCTAGCCGGCTAGTTGTTGTTCACCGGTACATTTTTTGCGAAATTATGATTCTTCCCTGCGAACATATTCATCGAAACGAGAACACGCTGTATTTTCCGCGCACCCGCAAAACCACCGCAGAGCAACTGCTGCGGCGGCGAAAGGTATACCAAACCTCTGCAGACTCTAGACTCGCCACTGGTTCAGTTCACGCACGCATGTCACTCACGGCCACCGCTGACTCATCGCAATCGCAAGCCAAGGCCCTCTTCATTCCAAATACTCACAAGACCCATTTCCGCGCGGGCAACCCTTCGTTCAGTAAAGTCTCAGAATTTCGCTGCGCTCGCTCTCTCTCTGTTGCTCTCTCGTTGCTTCTTCTTGCGCAACAAATAGATATTTCGACCTAGGAGGCCAACAAACCTGTGGGGTGTCTGTACAGCGCGCTTTCGGTGCAGGCCACGCCATTGCCTGCCGAGAAGCGTACCGAGTCACTCTAGTCCAACAGGATGGGTGTTCTCAAACCCTCACTCTCCGTCTTGTGTGCTAACACAACTTCAAGGTGCCACGTTTGTGTGGTCGGCTCCGCACACGAGACCAAACAAAAAAAAATGCTTTCATAAAAAAAACCTGGTCTGTCTGGGTGTTGTGTTCCTCCCTCCTGACCATACTTCCACAGGAAGAATCGAAAAAACACAAAAGACAGCCCAACCAGGCGGGGAGCTCACCTGCTTGCGTTCCTTGTAAATCACAGCTCTCCATTTGCCCTCCCGGGTGACGCACACACCACGGTAGACAGACTTTCCTCTGCGACCCCTTCGCCGGTGCGTTGTGGGAGCTTTTGCCTTGACGGCGGCTGCTGACACGGCTGTGATTTTTCGGTTACGAGAGAAGAAAAGAGGGAGAGCGACCGAATCCAACGAGAGAGCAGCGGCGCGTCGGACAAAACTCAATCGCCTCGCGTCCCGAAACCAGTACAGTAGCAAAGGGGCCGTTGTCGGCACCGTCTGCTGCAGAGTTCTCTCTGGGCGACGTCCGGACGGCGGCCGTAGTTCCTCTTCCACACCTTTCGGCGGGTGCAACGCAAGCCTTGCTAGGTCGTCACCCGCTAACGTACGCGTACACACACCCACACCGTTCGCGCGTTCGTTGCAATATCCCGTTGATTTTTCAACACTTCTTTTCTTGCAAAATTGTTGTCTCAAAAAGCGCCGCCGGCAAAATACTGGAGAGCCAACGAGGTTGCACGGGGCCAGATACACCCAACAACCAAACCGCATCCACCAAGCGATCACCGCAACACGTGCTGGAGAGACTGACTTAACACTGCGTGTTGCTCCCTTACCTCTCCCTCGCTGAGCCTTGTAGACAGAGCCCTTGTTGGTCATCGCGGTTGGTGCGCCTGTGGAAGCCCTCGTTGTTGTCGAGGACCCAGCAGCCGCAGCCGCAGCCGCAGCCGCAGCCGCAGCCGCCGCGGCAGACTTGGCAGCCCCTGACAGCCGCATCCGCTTAGGCTCCGTGGCGTATTCGGCTACCTCGTGCTGTCGGAAAGACCCGCTGCTGCTCTCTTGGGGGGGAGCCATCATTGAGTAGAAGGATAGATTTTGGCGTGCCCGCGTACCCTATCCTAGAGACTCTCTCCCCAAGATTATAAGAGACAGATCGAGCAGGTTGAAGGTGCCGGGCGCCGAGGGAAGAAGGGGCCGAGAAAGAGAGAGAGCGTGAGAGGTGCAACACCAAAAACACACACACGTGCGCGTTTTCCGTTTCTCGAGGACCCTTGACCCTCCCGAACTCCGAGGTAGCCGTTATTGCGTGGTGGGTGTGACAACGTTGTTCACGTGTGTGGGGAGAGAGAGAGAGACAGAAGGCTGGTGGCAATCTATTCAGGAAAATCTAAAAATGGAAAGCCAAGAAATTTTCATGTCGTTTCCAGGTTCAAACCACGGCCAACAGCTGTTGCAGTGTAGGAAGATTCTAAATCCAATCTTCAAATTGATTCCCTCGATGCGATCGTTGGTCGAAACCAACAGTCTCGGTGCCCTGCACGCTTAGCCCACGATCAGAATCTTGGGCTCTTGCCGCCTTGTGGGCTTGTGGGACTCGTTGACCTGACAAATATGGTGTCGCATCGAGTGGTGCTGTTGGTGTGACGACCATGAGCCTGGCGTGGACGACCTCGGATCCACGGACCCGATAGGGTCTCAAGTGGATGCACCCCCCTAATACCCTCGCGTGCAAGAACGGGCAGACCTCGGGTAGTCTCCTCCGCCGGCTTCTCGGGGTGTAGCCCAAAGAAGAGAAAGCGCAGAGAACTTGGCTGGGGCTAAGATACACAGCTGCACAGAAGGGCTTCCGAGGTACAGACTCGATCACGTGCTTGAACTTGAGCGAAACCGAGGAGTTTCGCCATTACCCAGCCCAAGCCCATCAGCAACAACAACCACGATGGACACGAATAACAGCCAAAACTCCACCCCCTCAATCCTGGATACAGATTTCTGGTGTTACCTCCTGCTCTCCGCTAGCGGCGGTGGGCAACTACAGTAGTAAACAACCTTCCAACCTTCCGGCCACTGGCTCTCCGCTCTCCGCTCTCCGCCTTGTGTTTTTTTTTTTTTTGTGTGGACGCAGGTGCAGGTGCGGCGGGAAAGCGGTTTGGGGTTGCACACATCATATGTACTGCTCTAGCACCCACACCGAATGCGCTCTCGTCCCTTGCAGCTACGTGGGAAGCCGGTGACTCCCGCAGCAGGAACACAGCAGGGACAGAAAGAAGGCCTTCGGAAAGCTATTGAGCTGAGATCCGCGAGGAAGGGCCACAGGGAAGGGAGATTGCACGCAGGTTGACGGGACGGCTACCCCAGGGGTACGTACTTTTTTTCCGCCGTAGGAGTTACTGCTGTAAAATTGCATGTGCAGTTCATCAAGAACAAGAGCGCCCCGGCCAACACCTTGCACGCAGCATGAAGACGAGCGAGCGGGCTGGCCGTGAAGGTGAGGAGCAGATCCTACAGCAGTAGGATGGTTGGTTTGCGAAGGCCTTGTCTTGCCAGAAGAATGCTATTCTGGTTACAGAGCCAAGGGCAACCGACAGCAGGTAGGCAATACGGCGGAAGGAGTTGATTGTTCACACACATCGTGCTTTACACACATTGTGCTTTGAACACGCTCTCCTCCCTCACGGGTTCTCGCGCAGGAGTTAGTTGCTCTCCTATGCTACGTGCTGATGCATAGAGCCGCACTGAGGTTTGCCGTCGGTAAGCGCTTCTGCGTCTTGCTGAGCTACTGCTTTATATGTGCTCGCTTGGTTCATGCTGCACCTCGTTTGTCCATCAGATCAGACGCACCGCCAGGATGTGCCAGCGCACCACGCCTACAGCGGCTACGTGCTCTCCCGGGATGAAAGGGTGAGCGCTCGTGCGCTGCTCTGGAGCACGCACACAGTTGGGTCCTTCACTTGTGTGTTACCGACAGATGAAGTTGAGAGTGTGGCCAGATAGCTTTTTGTTTGAGACACTTGCAGCATGAGAGCCTCCACGCGGCGCGTGTGACCAAGATCGTCTATGGTCGTTAGACTGTAACTGCTGGAAGCCTAAAGAGCACGGTCCAAAAGGGCCGTGTTGAGAGCGGTGTAGACAGCAGCAAGTTTATGTTGTAGTGGAAGTTTTCTACATCGTGGTGTTAGGGTGAAGTCAGAGTCTCCCATTTCCGGCGAAATCGTTCTCTACAGACGAGAAATGTTTGTCACGTTATGACACCTGGACTGCTGTGGCGGTTCCTCGGTGGTGGCCTTTCATCCACACCCTTTGTCGGGACGTGAGTGTACTCTTGAGAGCGCCGGGCTCGTTTCCGGCGGTGCGATGAAAGCAGATCAGTTCCCCGCTTCTTCAATGTCACTGTGCCCGCACCACTCCTAGTATGTATCTAACACCAACGGCTTTCTTTTTGCATGGTGCAGTATGCAGTGGTTGTCTCACGGCCATTCGTGTGACAAACTGTTGTTTGTGCAAGGAGATACACTGCTGTGTAGCTCTCCCGTGCCCCTCACCCTCACCTCACCTTGCATCAAGAGGGGAGAGCAGACGATCCCAAGCGAAGCGCACCACCCTGCACCCGTCGTCATAACGGTTTTATTATGTAGCCTTCGCAGGGTTTTTCGTATTTTGTAAACATGTTGGATAGAGCATGCAATATCGGGGAAGTTGGGTTAGGGTTGAGGTTGTAGGGAACAGGGTCCGCGTCCTCCCTCCCGTTATGTTTCATCGTAAACTTGTTTTAATCGCGCGAAGGCGGTCCGTTTCATTTCACATGCAATGCTTTCAATTAAGGCTTGAACGCGGGAATATTTTATGGATGGCAACCCAACACAGACCGCCGTAGCACGCAAGCCGGCCTGGCATGTTTGAATTTTCGAGCGAGACCGCCAAGCCCGGCAACGTCATTGAATCCCATTGTTCCAAATCGGAGAAAGAGATTGGCGGAATCCCGATATGTCATTCTGCCTCAAAACACGGGCTCAAAACACGGGCTCGGCAGCACGGACTGATTTGTTTCTCACAGCACCAGTTGTACGAGCACACGCCGCAGACCTGAGACAGCCGAGCTTTGTGTGCCCCACTGCCGTAAGGTAGTGCCTGGGTCGTCGTTCTCTCAGAGACCGCCCCTTTACTGCTTCATCCTGTGTCCTGCCCGAAACGTATCTAGTAGGTGGGAACGGTCCGGTATTCAGACCTGTCGCCCGAGGTGTTCTTCGATGAGTTCGTGGCTGCTCGAAAGCCGGTGCTGATGGATGGTTGCCTTGCGGAACAAGAGGGCTGGCGGGGGAATAACTGGACCAACGAGTACCTCCGCGAAAAGGTATCGATTTTTTTTAGTTTTCCACAAACTTCCCTATCCGTGGAGGACTTACGGTTTGGGGGGGGGGCAAGGGGGACTCCCGGCTGCTGGTTTCGTGCTTTTCGTGTCAGACAAACGTGCTCGAACGCACGAAGGCTGGTGGTAACAGCAGTATTCATGTACGCATTGCCAACATTGATCTGTCCGAGCGCCTCAGGCATTTCTTCTGTAGACGAACGTTCACGCCTTGGCAGAGCACTGGCTCTATCAATCCTTCGGAAACCTATATAGCTCGCCTTCCCCGTGACGGATGACTACAAACTCGGCCGCTTTGTAGGCACTCTTGACTAGAGCTTCTGTCGTATTCGCTTTCGTTCACTCTAGAGAAGAAGAGGGAGACGGAAACGAAACGATGCGCTTCAACGCCCTCGCTTGTACCATGTGTTTAGTGCTCGCGAACGCGATCGGTGGGTATGGTGGAATGCCTCTTCATCTCTTCATCACGCTGTGGCTTAGTCGCCACTTCGGAGCAGCTGCTGCTCTTGTAGGCAAGACAATTAGGTTACGTTGTGTGTGTCGTCGGATTGCCTTCTCGCTGATGCGATTCTCGCGAAATACCCACCCAGAGACTTGTTGTACGGTTAGGCCACCGCTTACGTGCACGTTGTCGTCGTTTTGCAGGCTGGTGATGCAGAGGTGAAAGTGGAGTACCGGGGCGGGGCGGAGGAGCGGTACGGTCAAGGGCTAGAAAGGGGAATGAAGTTTGGCGACTTCCTCGGCGAGCTGGAACGAAAGAACGACCTTTTGTATCTCACTACTCAGGTGAGAGACACCGAGGGAAAAAAAGGGAGGACGAGACAGACAGACAGAGGGGATCAGGAAAGAAAGAGTAGGGGTTCAGGCGAACTCCTTTGTGTCGTTCAATTGGTGGGGCAAAATACAGACAGGCCGAGAAACATAAATGAGATTATCACGTAAAAGAGGAGGGGTACAGGCGACTCCTTTGTGTGGTTCAATTGATGGGACGAAATACAGGCAGACAGAGAAAGAGAAGATGGGGATATCAGGCAACAAGAGTAGGGGTACAGGCGACTCCCTCGTGTCGTGGGGGCGATATTTTTGTCTTCTTCGGCGCGCTGCTGCGCTGTGCGCGGCGTACTCCCTCCTTCGCACCCAAGCACGTATTTTTTCCCGCTGAGACCCCGGACAGCGAACACCAGCAAGGACTTCCGTTTCTCTTTCCCGCGTGGCTGGCTCCCCCCAGGAGCTTGGGCTGGATCCCACCGGCAGGCCCGGCCTCATGAGCGCGCCGCTGGACAGGCTGCGGAACGACTTCCCTCTCCGCCCGGGGCTTGCTGGCGCGCTCGTGCCACAGAACGTGAACCTCTGGATGGGGCACACGAAGGAGGGCGGCTCTAGCAGCGGTCTTCACCATGACTTTCACGACAACCTGTACGTGCTCCTCAGGGGGAAGAAGATGTTCAGGTGCGAGCGGGCGCTCTTTTTTGGGGGGAGGAAATGGTAGGCGTGAGGGGATGGGAGTCACGCGGCGCTCTCGCTGGCGATGAACCGGACCTAGCAGCGTCGGCGCCGCGCTTGGGCTTCGGCCGAATCTACTGCTGCTGCTGCTGCTGCTTCTCATGGCGTTGCACCGGTAGTGAACGTTCAAGCCGGTGCACTACCCCGTAGTGCATCAGCTGTATCTTTTGTACAGCCGTGTTTCCTCACACGATGAGGCAATGGCCACGATCTACGTTACCTTCCTCCCCACGGTTCTTCTGGTAGCTTGCCAGGTCCTCGCTGCTTGTCTCTCCTCGAGCCTGTTTGCGCCAACGACAACAGCAGTGGTGGTGACCACAGCCTCAAAGAGAGAGAGAGAGAGGCGTGCGAAGCCGTTTCGACGCTTGAGAACCCGTCCTGTCTCCGCCTCCTTGTAGCCTATCACATCGCGTTGTACCCACCACCACCACTGCCGCCGCCGCGATAACGTGCTTTCCCCGTCCGGGCAGGCTCTTCAGCCCAGCGGACGCCCATCGTATGTACCTGGAAGGAGAGCTCGTGAAGGTTAGCGAATGTGGCGTGCTGGTTTCTCGGTCCCGCCTTGTATCCTGCGGGTGCGAGTACTTTCTCCCGTACCCCTACATGAATACGCCTTTCGTCGTCTCGGAGAATGGCCAAAACACTGTTCCGATTTTCGGCGAGCGAGTCGGGAGTTGCGCCCCCACCCCGAGAGCTGCTATTAATGCTTATCCAGCTGGTCAGGTCAGGCTCGTGGTGGCTGCAAGTGTGTGTTACCAGAGTCAAGATCCCAAACGAGTTGTGTTTGTCGCTCTCGCGCGCATTGCACGGCAGCCGGGAGTGATTAGATTGGCCAACAGCAGCAGTCAACGAGCGCACCGGTTGCATCTATTACGATGGAGCGACTATGTAGCACCCCATTGAGAGTATCGTAGGTTTGTGTTTTTTCACGCCGCATTTCGCGTTCCACGCTCTCGATGCCCTCTATCCTATCCACTACATCCCTCCCCGTCCAATCCACTCTTGTTCATCACTCTCTTGTCCCTCGTGTCCTCTTTCCCTCGCCCATTCCTCCTCATTCCCCCTCTGTCTCTTCCTGTCTCTCTCTGTATCTGTCTCTCTCTCGCCCCCTCTCTCCCGTTTCCCTCATTTTTTGTTTTTTGTTTCTCTCTCGAACTCTCGTTAGGTTCACCCCAACGGGCGGATAAACTACAAGGGCAAAGAGACCCTAGCGGACGGCTCAGATCCCTTGGCGGAGACCGCAGCTAGGGCCGCGGAGCTGGTAGACCGGGCGGCAATCAAAGCGGAGGTATCTACAGCAGCAGTAACTCAGCCTCTCGTATCCTTAGGTGTGTGGCAGCTGATGTTTGCGCTCGGTGCTGTCCCGCTTGGAGTTGACGCAAGCAGAGACCTCTTCCTCGGAACGTTCCTGGGGAAGTTTTTAGACCGTGTTTGCGCATGCATGTTCTTGTCTCAAGTGTATCGTTGACCCTATTCTGTAGAAGCATGCACGTCCCGAGATTCCGCGTTTTGCGGAGGACAGGTATGCTCACAAGTGCCGCAGCCATTGGTGCACATGCAAGAAGGAGAGGGGTGTTGCTGGTCGTTGAACAGCAGCATTAACCCGTATTACTAAATATGGATTAGTCTCTTCCAAAGCCAGCTGCGGGGATGGGGACTGAGAGGTCTTTGGACTGCCCTACCCTCCCCCTTCGGTATTCCTGTCTCTCTCTCTTCCGATACCTTCTCCTTGCCAAATGTCAAGACAGAAAACTGCCAACCCCCGGTAGTGGGTGAAGACTGTTTTACCACGATCTGGGTTTGTTTATATTTTGGCAAGCCTAGTTTACTTGTGTTTTTATTGGCTCACATGCTGTCCTGCCTTCCCCCTCCCCCTTCCCCCAAACATTTACATGTTGTGTTTTACTCGTGCGCGGGGACATGTGCATAGCTCTTAGTGATGAGGTTATCGAAGATCGGTGGTGTCTTTTTTTTCTTTTTTTTCTTTTTTTTCTTACAAAAACACAACGATTTCATCTCTTCCCCAGACAAAGAGTCCGGGGTATTTTGTTTTGCTTCTTTGCTTTTGACAACATGTATGCATGTGTCTGTTTTTGGCTGCATAGACGACAGCAGTAGACATGAGTGGCGGGGGAGGAAATATCACGTCAGAGAGATGCCGGAGGGGCAAAGCAGAAAGGCCGGGAATCACAGGAGGACGTGTGTTTGGGAATGGCACGCCCGTCATTCGCTTCATTGTAGCTCTCTCGCTTGGGAGCGAGTGTATTGTACCGCAGGATTGGAGTCGCACATGACAAACCTATCTGAAAATGTCCTTGCACAAGCTACGTAGATAAACCCCTTTCATACATATCGTCTATCGTCTGCCCGATGTTGGAAATTGCGAAATTGCTTAATGACTTGAAAATGTATACATGAATTAAATCTGGCTCTGTGTGTAGGTTCCCGGTTTGACAACTGAACGGCTGTGTAGGTTTCTGTACTTACCGGTGTTCACAAGTCGCTTCCTCTGTGTAACCCCACCGCTCACCACGCCGTCGGCTGTGTAGGTTTTTCTGTACTACTCACAGGTTTGCGTCTTTGTGTACCCCTACCGCTCGGTTCGCAACCTTGTGAATGAAATAAATTTGGCTCTTAAGTTCCCTTGGGTGCAGGGGCAGAGAGGCGGAAAAGCAGATAATTAATTTATGTAGGGAAAACAGACGTGTATGTATGTGCTACAGCCCGAGCCCACTGTTGGTACGCTCGACAGACCAGAAAATACAAAAATCAGGCGGGAATCAGCCGGGCTCTCTTGGTATTAATTATTTGTCACTCATCATTTATTTAGAACGGTTAGAATGCTGCGTATAGAAGTAAGAGTTATGTGGTGTAATGCACGACTTGCTCTGCCGCATACCGAAGTGGGTGCGAATCATGCCTAGCCCGTGTTTTTCTACCCAGAGAAAATATTTGCGGCGGGAGCGCCATCGCAAACCTTCCATATACTTAAGTACATATATTGCGTTCCCAAACCTGAAAAATAAAAAATACCCAAAACGAAAACACACGCAACACCCCAAACCCAATATATATAAGTTGTATTGTACTTGGTAAAAAGCCGGGGAAAGGCTCGATTCGCCCGCGCACCTCATGGCAAGCACACTCCCTACCCCCCCGCGCGCCCCACGCCGGCGCAGAAAATGGCTTCTGACGCCATGCTTAGCTCCGCTGCGGTGCAAACGCCGGACGATCCAGGTTCTGGCATGGAAGCAGCAGGGCGAGGCGGAGAGAGGAATAGGCTGGCTGTGGAGTCGCGCAAGTCTGAGGAAGAGGTAAGGGGCGATTTTTTACTGGTGGTGCATGAAAAAAAAAAAGAAAAAGGAAAAGGAGGAAACCCCGGGTTCTGTAGGAAGAGTTCTGCGATCTGTCACGTGTTTGACTCAACCTTACTCGACCATCCCGCCCTCGATTAACTCGCGAGTTTTTTCACTAGATGCGCAAAGAAAGCCAGTACCCTATAACAACTGCTTTGGGACGTTTTGGGGTGCATGATAGTTATAAAAAGGATGACAAGGGGAAATTTCAAGAAGAGTTCTGCGATCTGGCGTGCTTGTTGGCGCGCGTGTTGTCTGTGTTTGACTCGACATAGGTCCACAATGCCGACGCTGATTTACTCTGAGTGTTTTTTCAATAGACGCGCAAACAAAGCCAGGACCCTGGATCGACTGCTGTGAGTCGTTTAGGCACCCTGACACACAGTTCTGTTTGGTTTTGACGAGCCATCTCTCCCTATGACATACCACATGGATGGTATATCATACACACACACATACATGCATGCACGGTGTGGCTTTCTCTCTATCCAACAGAACCGCCCGAACACCAGTATCATTACAGTATTCGGATAGCATGCAGAGAGCCCGCAGCCCGCACTGCATGGGAGTAGTAGCCGTCGCGAGCAGAGCACAGGACAATGGCGGGCGCTGCCTCGACAGATCATGCAGAGGATGAGAAGATCCAAGTTAAAACCTCTCCAACGGCCACAACTAGTCTCGCTTCAAAAACTCAGCAGACCAACCCAGCGCTGCGTCGTAACTAAATAAGCAGCAGGGCAAGGAACAAAGACCTGCTTGGGAAAGCGTGTGTATTGGTCTGAAAGGGTTCATTCGGCTGCCAGACTCTCTGTTTAGCCGGGGGGCGCACCCTCTATGCTCTCTCTCTGTCATCAGCTGCCAGCTTCGAGGCTCTCTGGTGGGCGGCGTACGCTCTCTCTCTCTCTCTCTCTCTCTCTCTCTCTATCTCTCTCTCTCTCTCTCTCTCTCTCTCTCTCTATCTCTCTCTCTCTCTCTCTCTCTCTCTATCTCTCTCTCTCTCTCTCTCTCTCTCTCTATCTCTCTGCTCTGGGTCGCTGTTGTTGCGGCAGCAGCAACCAGCTGTTAACACTCTTCATTGCTGGCGTGGTGACTATTCTGTAGCGGCTGTGTCTGTGGCAGCTGTGGGGTCTCTAACACGTCAAAGAGTGTTGCTGTCGGTATTGGACATTTCCCCCTCTCTTTTCTCTATGTATGTCCAATACCGACGGAACGTGCACCACCAGTAAAAAATCGCCTTTCCTGGTAAGGGGTTTCCCGCGAGTGATCCCCCCGCCCCCCTCCCCTAGAACTCCTTGTGTGTTTTCCGTTAGGAAATGGGCACAGATAGCTGCTGCTGCAGAGGCGGCACTAGAGTGGTGCCCCCCCACCCCCACCCTTCCCCCTCCCCTAGAATTCCTTTTGTGTTTTGCCTTAAGAAAATCGGCGCGAATAACTGCTGCTGCTGCTGCTGCTGCTGCTGCAGGTTCTGCACCGCTGCTGCGCGCAGCGACCCGCAGCAAGTACGTGTGTCGTGCGTGTCTTGTTCTTGTTGTCATGAAACACTCACGGCTCAGTAGCACCAGTGAGGCAAGTGTGTCGCGCGCGCTTTTTTTCTGTTGGATCATGGAACAGCTCATGACTGCAGCGGCACCAGGAAGCAGTCGTCGGCCCTGGAAGAAACGCCGCCATGTATACCGTAGGTGATGTAAGATACCACACCCCCAGGACCGAGTCTCGAAGCTGGATTACTCCTCGACCAAGAGGATTCATAAACGAAACTCTGCGTTTTCGGACAAAAGCGTTTTCTCGCCGATAAAAACGGTATTCGCGACCGCATACCGCATAATAGGTGACATGAGATATCACACGCCCCTAGGACCGACTTCCGAAGCCCGATTTTTCAGCGGCGGAAAGACTGGCGGTGCCAACAACGGACTTCTCTCGACCGGACGGCTCCAACGCCGCCGTTCTTGGCACCGCCTCTCTTGCTGCTGCGGAAAATTCGAAGGTCGGTGCTGGGGGTGTGATATCTCATGCCACCTACTCGCGGAATGCTGTCGCGAAGATTGTTTTACCGGCGAGAAACGCAGCAGATGGTGCAAGCCGGACGAACTCGGCGACCAATTTTGCTCGCGCTTTGTTTCGCGGCAGGTCGCTGCGGCGCAGGCCGCCCTCGAACGCGGCGAGAGCGGGGCCGCGCAGCGCCTGGAGGCGGCGGAGGAGGAGCTCGAGAGGGCCTTGGAAGCGGTCCTCGATGCGGAGTGTGCAGGCGGCGCTGGTTTCGGGGGTAAGAGAAGATTTTTGCTGCCATCAAGGAAGGCGTTTCGTTTTTTCCTCACGCTGCATATTTTTTTTGTGTGGTATACGTAGCAGGCGGCACTGGTGACGGTGTGTGCATCGTTCTGTTTGTGTTGCGCCGCTGTGAGAAACGCCGCTGTCGGGAAGGCCAATTCATATGTAGTTTGCGCCCGCGCTCAAGAACGTCTCGTATAGGGTTAGGCTGAGGTTCTTAGTTCCTAGGGTTAGGCTGCAAATGGCTGCTATATGTACATATAAGATTTGGTCACTTTTCTTGCTTCAGCGTTTCTTTCTCTCGCCCCAGCGAGTCTTTTTTCGCGGTTCCTTCTCAGGGGCACGCAAGAGGCTCGTCGGTACATTAACGCCCGTGCCCGGAGCTCGGTAGGCCTCCGTGGCGCGTGTGGTTGACGGCCAAAGTTGCGAAAACTGGCTCAAAACCCCGGGGACGCATTCGCGCTGACAAAGCCTGGCGAACCAATTCTGAAACCTATCAAACCCATCAAATACGACGGTTTGAATATTTGCCTCTTGCTTCTCCACTTTCATTCGTTCATTGATTTGTTCGATGATTCATGGCTGTGACTCATCGTGTCATTGCATTGTCCAACAGCAGTACCCACGTTTACTACACTTTGCAGCGGGCCAAGTGTAGACACGTCTGAGAGCATGCATCCAGCCGCAGTGTTGAACATGTCCCATTTGTGGTGTTGTTTCGGCTTCAAATTCGGTTCTCATCGGAAATCATCAATCAAAGAAATCATGCAAGTCTAAGTTTTCCCTGCCAAAATACTGTCCGCTCGAGCTGGCTCCAATAATGTAGAAAAACAACGTGCGCGATGTTTGGTTTGGAAATACAAGCGTTGTAAGACACACAGTCCCAAGTCGGGCAATGCGCATGTTGGTCTTGCGTCACCTGAGGGAGGGTAGACACCCACGTTCCGAAGGGAGACCTTGTATATATATAGGTTTTAGTGTAGGGTTTCTTAACCGGGCTCACAAGACAGTGCTCAACCTCTTTAAACAGTACTTGTATGTGTTCATATGATCTTCAGCATGAAGGTCACAAGCGTGGGCGCTAACTACGAGACGGAGGCTCGGGGGACGCAGGAGGGCTTGAGGTTTTCTTCCTCATCCGCGCACGTCTAATTGTGTCAGTTGCGGCCACGGCCTTGCATCCCTCGCTCTCCCAAGCGACCGTGTGCAACAACAGCAGTAACCTTCGCGCGGAGCAACATTTCATTGGTCGGTCGTTTTGCTCGACCCTGTTTTTCTTGTTGTGTCCTCCGTGACTGTTTCCACCGCCACTTTGCGGTTGTCCAGACGGAGGTTCCGGCGAGTCTTCCTCTGACAGCGAGGGGGGCCCGGGCTTCTTCGACGGCATCAACGACGACCCCTCCGAGGAGGCTTTTCTTGCGGCGAGCACCAGAAAGGCTCGCGGGGCGAGCGGGGGTGTTGGTGTCAGCGGCGGCGGCGGGGGTCGTAGTGACGATTCGGCGGCGGGTTTAGTCGGCGCGGACGGCGGCGACATTGGCGACGAAGATGATGATGGTGGTGATGATGACCCCGAGGCGGGAGGGAAAGCGAGCAGCAGCAGTGGCGTGGAAGTCATCAGCGTGGCAGCCGCGGCAACAACAGCCGACGATGACAAACCAAGAGGTGCCGATAGTCGAAGCAGCGGCAACGGGGAGAACGGCTGGGCGGAAGCAGGCAGCAGCAGCAGCAGCAGCAGCAGGGAGGTCGAGAACGGCGGCGACAGACCAGAACGAGAGCCAGCAGCAGACGAAGGCAGAACCGCCAAGAGGAGGAAGACCGAGGGACAGGAGCAGCAGAGAGAGAGCAAGTCGGCGCCCGTCAACTTCAGCAGAGTAGACCCGTCCCTCCCGCTCGCGGAGCTCGCGGAACGGTTCCCCCTGTTCCTCGAAGCGGAGTCTTGTACCGTGGAGGTGGAGGCCGGGCAGATGCTGTACTTGCCAGCCGGGTGGTTCCATGAGGTGAGAGAATGTCGTGTTTGGTGCGCCGAGAGGGATATACATGTAGAGGCCGAAACAAAACATTTAAGGGTATAGTGGTGTGAATTCGGCGGCTGCTTTAAAGAAGTTAGTCGTGGGGTCCGAATGACGCGACACTTTTGCTCCGAGGAGGGGGTGACTCCCCTCGCCAGCGCTGCTGTGCATATCACACCACAGACGATCAGATAGACGATAGGTCTTATCGACCCACCGATAGGTTAACCATCATCCGATCGATTGGAATTTGTGGTCCCGATAAGATAATAGGGTTACCCATCGGTAGTTATCACGGGGAAAGATGCTTCCACTCAAAACATATCGATATAGATCGTTCGACGAGGTAAGATTTTCAAAGCGCCTATCGATGCCTATCGTGGACACCAAGTGGATTGAGAGCTATGCGATCGCCTTGTTTCGTTCATCGCGATAAGTTTCCCGCGAAGACATCGATGGATATCATTTAGACCAGTAGAGGACGGTTAATATTATCGATACCTATTGCCTCCCTCGATATATCGGGGCGGGGCCTGTTGGCATCGATTGACATGGCGATAAGTTCGGCTCTGACATATCGATAGCTATCGGTGCTGGCGATATGTCGGGCCCTCGCATATCGATAGCTTTCGGTGCTGGCGATATGTCGGGCCCTCGCATATCGATATCTATTGGTGCTGGCGGTGTGTCGGGGCCCTCGCGTATCAATTCGTTGGGTCCACTTTGATGAGCAGCGGCAGCAATTTCCCACACCTGTGTATGGCCTTCGAAGGATGGCGACAGGTTTCTGCCAAAACCTATCGTCGCGCGTAATAGTTGTCGATAAGTTTCTGGCGTTGAAATTCGCTATACAAGTCTACTCTTCTATAAGTGTTAATTTTAACGCCAGAAAACCTCGAGAAAGAAATGCAGCGACGAAGCACAGCCCGGTGTGCGCACCACAGACCCACCCATTGTGTTCCCGAACACGCATGTGCGATTTTGCCGAGGCCCACGTCTACGAGACTTGTTCAAATTCAAATCACTACAGACATTGTAGCATAGGCCCCCGATTCGACGGCCGCTCCTTCATACCCCTAGGTGCTGCTCAGGTTTGTTGAGAATGCTAAAACGGAACACGGAACACCACCAAATAAATGCAAGCACAAGGAAGGTCGGCACGCGTACAAATGTTAAGCCTTCGGCAGGAAAAACAAACCCTGCACCAAGTGCTTAGAGCACGAAACTGGTGGAGTGTGTCTAGCTGTCCCCCGCCCCTTCTCCGCCAGCGGGCAAGTCCGCGTCCGCGCCGTCGACGTCGTCTCCCTCCTCCTCCGGCACGAAGTCGAAAACCGCCACCTCCTTCTCCTCCTCCAAGATCTGCACGTCTTTCACGGCCTGTGGGTCCGTGAAACGGTTCGGGATGGCGGCTGCCACGGCAGCGTCGTTCAGCCTGGGTATGTCCATGGGGATGCGGTCAAAGTGCGCTCGTAGGTAGAGCTGCATCTCCAAGTTGGCTGGATCAAGCGAGGCGCGCTTGTGGGGCATGAACATATCCGCGATGCAGAAATCTCGCTCCACCACACCCGCTGAGGCAGGGACGCCGTACACCACCTGCACGACCAATCGGAGGGCGAAGGGGTGTTTGTTGCCGTGAAGACGCCAGTAGTCCGCTACGTTCTCCTTCCGCTCCTCTTTTGGAATCTGTGCATGGGTGCGAAAACGTTGATCGCGAGCGTTGAACCTTGGGCATACAAGTGTGAAGCCGGCCATGGCCTTTAAGTCGAGCCCGTGGATTATTGGCAAGCAAAAAATACTATCGAAACGCCTATTCAACAAACCGAGGGAGGTGTTTCTTCTCAGAATTAGAGCCCCCTTTGGAGTTTCTCTAAAAACAGGTACCCAACTCGCGCATTTGAATGCACGTAAAATAATGTCATAAAGTAATTTTTGCACCGAACCATGTGCTGGAAACTATGTATAGACAGTAGAGCAGTGATTTGAACCGGGACAGAGGTTTACATGCGCTTGGGTGTTTTCATTATTTTTACATGAACCCCCACGGCACCACCACCTACGGGTGGGGTGAGGGGGGCTGATCTGGACTGGCTTCAATCATTGTTCCACGTACAAGCCGTGTCGCCGAGGCCGACAACAAAACTACAACCCATGCGCAAATGCAAAAACCACCTGAGCTGCGAGCCACGCCTTCATGATGGTCTCCGCTTCCTTCCTGGGGTCTTCCTCCACCGGAGTGTCTTTCGTCGTGTCGTTGGCGATGCCTTCGTCGTCGTCGCAAAATCGGCGCCGCCGGCGCCCTTTGTCAGCACAGCACAGCAGTCTACGTGAGAGGGGGGCACAGCACGGCACAGCACAGCAGTCTACGTGACAATCAGATTCAAAAGCCCCCCGCAAGGCCTAAGAGAGTGCAGCGTGGGTGTGATACACACGTGAGGTGAGGAGACAAATAGATATTTAGACACACGTAGACACTTTTAAAATCGACAGGCTTTCTTACTGGTGATGGGATCTTATCGTCATTGACAGATGGGCATCGACATGTCATGTCGAAACAGTATCGCGGAGTGCGATCAGCATCGACCGGTTCTTCGCCAACTTATTGCTTTCCAACGATAGCTGTTGATCGCCAGCGATAAGATCCTAATGGACGTACAACAACTGACCGCATGTTTCACCGAACCCTGTCTTCGCCAACAAAGGGTGCTTATCACCGTGTCGGCGACTGCGTTGATCGGCATCATAGGATATCGACAAGTGTCTCCGAATACTATCGTTTTCTGCCAAAATCATCAACAAGCCGAGCTACAAACCTATTGCGTTCGCCAATTCCTATCGATAGGCCCTAAAACCCACCTTATCGCCGGCGATCGGTCCTATTCTTAGCCTTATCATCCAAGGTATAAGGAGCTTGGTCCACAGCAGCACACCACCACACATATTCCCCCAGAGATTCCTCATGAACTGAAAGACTTACCGACTTGTTGTTGAGACGGGCCGGTTCGAGCTCGTCCTTGGGGACCATCACTCCGAGGCAATGGCGGATTGGCACTTGCTCTACCAGCCTGAACGAGGAGGCGGCGTAGATGACGAACGCTTTCGTGAAGCCGAGCATGTTGTGGCGGACCTTGTCGGAGTTGTAGATCATGCTCTGCTTGACCTGGTCGACCTTGTCCAACGTGTCTTGCTTTCTGCATTATTTTCGCAAGCAAGATTACAACCAGCGGACGATTGACGCGTTATTGTTTTCAGCGTGACAAGCACAACAACCACCAACAGTACTTCATCGATTGTAACTCATCGATTGCAGGTCTCGTCATGGAGAATGCCAGTGCAAACGCCAACACATGCACAACAGAAACGCCAACACATGCACCACAGAAACAAGACACCCCATCCAACAGAAAAAATACTCGATGGAGTATGAATTCAAGAAACATCACCTCCTAGAAATGAAAGCACTCACTTCTTGTCGTCGGCGCTGGTGGCGCTCTCGATGTCATGGACCTTCTTCAAATGCTCCGTAGCCCCAGTGGTCGACCCCGAGCAAGATAGCAGTTTGTTGGTCGCACGGCAGGTGTTCGTTGCCATGCACTTGTAGTAACTCTTCTTCTTGCCGTCCAGCAGTTTGGAGACCCGCACGCCCCAAAACCAAATGAAGCTCGGCTTCGACTTGACGATGTGGATGGAACAGATCGAGTACCCATTCGGCGGCTGGTAGTCTAGGATAGCCGTTTTAACATCGGCTGGTATGTCGCTGGGAAAGTGCAGTTTGTGTACATCCATCCGTCTCCCGCTCGGCGGTTCGCGTTTCGACGCCACCACTACCACCACTACCGCTACGGCTACTACTTCCACCACCCCCGCCGTCATTCGGCAGATAGTTGTTCATCGAGGTCTGTGTGTGGTGCCCACTCAATGGACGTGGCGTGCGCTGGGTGCCGGAGGATGCGCCAGCATGCTGGCCATCATCGGGATCGGCTATGGTGGTGTAATGTGTGGTGATGGGTAGAGGGCGCGAGGGCGCGTAATCTGATCGCCAGCTCGGCAAACATGTAATCGCTAATCGGGTGATGTTCGGCAAAATTCACCGCACTTCGTTGATTGCCGGCGCTTTTTTGTTATCTTGGAATTTTGACTTTTTCTAATCGCGGTCGGTGAAACTTTTCTTTGTAATGTATAGTTCCCGTTATCCCATCGCGGTCGGCGAATCTTTTCGAATCTTTGTGTCGGAGGTTGGCCCCGATCCGATTTGATGCTTTGTATAACGATGGGTTCCCCAGGACGATATGCTGGCGAACAATTTGTCGATAGCTATCATATCATTCGATAAGATTGAGCCATTGGCTATCGATATATATCTTCTTACAAGAAGGGTAGTTACAAACACGTATCGATAACAATCATACACAACGATAGGTAGATGATCACGTATACCATAGGTGTTTGCAAAACCAATAGGCTGTCTGTAGAACTTATCGATAACTATTACGCGCGACGATAGGTTTTGGCAGAAACCTATCGCCATCCTTCGAAGGCCGTACACAGGTGTGGGAAATTCCTGCCGCTGCTCATCAACGCGGACCAATATACTGACCCTTACCCTATCAAACCCTATCAAACGGTACCGATAAGACAACACCGCGATAAGAACTTATCCCTATCTAGATAAGTTTTGACTAATCATCCAAGGTGTGGCCGCATATCCGTTTGTGAAGCCGAAATAAAGCCATTGGGCTAGTCAGAGCGCTGGCTACCGTCGGTGACACAAGATACTACACCCCCGGGACCGGTTTTCGAAGCACGACTACTGCACGGCGAAAGGATGCCAAAATCAATTTTGTATGTTTTGGGAAGGATGTCGACGAGACGGTTCTAACGCCGCCATTTTCGGCACCGCCTCTATTTCTGCTACGGAGTATTCGAGCTTTTGAAAATCGGTCCACAGGGTGTGGTATCTTGTGTCACCTCCGGTAGTTCAATGGTTTGATTTCGGCTTGTAACGGGCGCAGGTTGTCAACGGTTTTCTCGCGTGTGTTAGGGGTCCGCCGGCGTGACGTTTGGAGCCTTCCATCGCGCGTGATGATTGGGCCACTTTCTTTTAGTGAGACAGAGTAGTATCATACAAGTAGTGACAACGAAGCACCACCTGGTTTTTGTTTGTATCTTCTCGTATGACACTTGCCCTCATCAGTTTCGCTTGGATCGGGAGAGGACGAATTCGGCATACGTGTTTTTTTGTTTTTCTTCACTTCAAATCAGCGCGCACACAGCATTTGCTCCGGTTACTCCAACCCGTGGTCCTCCCCCTGAGGCCCCCTACCTACCCCTGCTTTGTCTTCGATTTTAAATGCGAGAAGAGTGCAGCACTCTCTTCCCTCTTTGTACACTCGAACTAGCGCTTTCCACCCAGGCCAGGAACGGACGCGAGAGAAAAATTCGCTTTGCAAGAAAAGCTCGCTTGCGCCGGGATTCGCACCCCTGACCTTGGCCACTAGAAGGTTTTCGAGGATACAAACTAGACTACCAGGGCGACCGGCCACAGCATACAATGGTTGTGTACTTGACCAACAGAGGATGATATCTTCCGAGACGTTGCCTGGGTTGAAGACGAACAATTGTTCTGAATTTTGAGCTTGGGTCCTGTGAGTCCTTGTGACGCTGGTGTATCAAACGGTAGACACCCAAAGCACCTGTGTTCTCTTCTGTTTTTTTTCGCGTTTCATGTTTTTGGACGAGAACCGACGACGAGTGCCCAACGTTGATGTACTGACACCACCGTTCTCTTAAAACATTTTTCCTTACTTTTTTCGCCCTTGATTTGTTGTTTGTTTGTTGCGTCATTCACACCAAGTATTCGTGTTTTTCGAACCATGTTGTATTAAACTGCTGTTCTCTGTCTCTCCCTACAGGTGTCCTCCGTGGCATCGGAAAACGGCCACATGGCGTTCAACTATTGGTTCCATCCCCCGGACTCTTTTGGCTCGTCCTCCTCGCCGTACGCGTCGAGCTTTTGGCTGAGGGATTGGGAGGCACGCCAGGAGGAAGGAGGCGGGCTCGGGGCGGGGGAGGAGGAGAAGAACGAAGAGTGAAGAACAAGCAGTCTCTGCTCGTCGTGCCGCGGTTGGATGAGGATTATGTAGAATGTAGCATTGTGTCCAGGTTCCCTATACCCAAGGGTCGTCTGCAGGCGGTTAAGTGTATCTATACTGCTGTATGCAGTTCCAGAAAGAAAGGCTGTGTAATGTTCAGACCAAAGTCTGTTCCGACAGAAGTCAATGATGTTGCTAGATGCCGCTCGGACCTACTTGAACTTTCTTCACTTTTGCTGCGTACTTGCAGAGTTGATATGTTGAGGGATAGTTGGGAGTGAGCCTGGTCGGGCTCGCAACACCTCGTGATCTTTTGCTACAATTAGGACTTACGATCTCCTACGATCAACAATCAACTTATCGGTTCACATCTGACACTGGTAAACATCTTCAATTCTTCCGCACCGCATCAAATCTCCTATTATTTGAGAGATCTTCCATGTTCTTGAACCATCGTCCTCAAGGTTGATTACGATCCAGATGCCCCGTCAATATGTCTGCTCGCTGGTCCTCGCTCCGCACATGCTTCAGCACAATATTCCCCATGTTGATATTTTGGGGGACGCAGCCAATACCTGCTGATCATGCTGCAGCCACGAAACATGAGTTAACCGCTGTGCTCGATGCTCCTCCAGTCCAGTGGAAGCCGAATGGAAACTGTGCACTCCCTCTTTTCCGTGCGGCAAATCCAAAATGAATGGTCCAAGACCGTATCCTTTGCAAAGTTGCCCTGATTTGCCTGCCATAGGTGTAGCCACATGCATGCCACACGTAGCTTGCCAACGCTCGACTCTAGGACTTATGCCACATGTCATCTCCAACCCCCTTCTTCGTAACGTTCTTTTCCGGCTCCTGATCCTTCATCAAAACTTTTGACGTCTCGAAAGTCAGGTACTGGTGCGCTGTGTACAGCACTGACTTCGTACAATCTACATTTTTTCCCGAAGAAAAATGCTCGTCACTACCGACAGCACTCTAGTTGATGTGGCACAACTTTGTGCAGTAGCGCTAAGAAATATGCTAGCCATCGACGACGGTGTAGCAGGTTGGACGACGTTGGTGGTGACCCCACAACCACACACTCGCATTTTTGTCGTTAGGCCCTCCTGCTACAAGCAGGCAACATAACAAGAGCTTGGGATAGATTATCATGGCGTAGCGGACACTATACCAGTGTTTCTACGAGTCCTCTAGCAGCATACAGCTTTAGCGATATCTACCCTACGGGCAACAGGCTCAACAAGACCATCTCAAGTCTCAAGATCTCAAGCAAGTTTTTCTTTCTCCTCTTTTGGGAGTCCCCGGTCCCCTGGTTGATTCAGACAACTCCAAATATCTTGTGCAAAACCTCGATTTCTCAACCGCACCTCTCTCTCTAAGCTCTAGCTATTGGGAGCTGCAGGTCCTTACTGCTGTGCAGTGAGCGCTGGCTGGCGTCATGCGGTCGTACGCAGTTGCGGCATTCTTCTTGGCGAGCGTGGTCGAGTCGTTCCACGTCAGTACCGTCGGGAGGCCGCATGAGTTTCACAGGTGCATGCAACCAAACGAGCGAGCGTCGCTCATGTTACTCTCTCCTCACTTGTTTTTTGCACACAAAAACTTGAGTACGGCAACGGTCTCCGCGGTATCTATAGTATGCCAGTGTCATTCGTGAGCGAGGTAGGGCGTTCGGTGTCATCACCATGTACGTGGTGAAACCTGCTGCCTCTCGTGTGCTACTGGTTGGACCTCTAGGCCTGTTATCGACAGTAGTTAGCTGCGAACAGACGTACAGCAGGTTCTGACTCCGTTGCAGCGGCGTCTCTCTGACTGGAGAGGGAAGAAATAGAGAGAGCATGACACCACTTCCCACGCACGTTGTTGTACCCGCCACCGCCGCCCGTCCGTGTGCATGCACGCCGCAGTAGCAGAAGTAGCAGCAGGGCCGGTGCTTCGGTTTCGCCCTTGCTTATGGGCGCCCCATCGCTCCCAAGCGCCGAGAGCTTGAGGAAAACGGCTGCGAGCACGGCGGCCGCGTTGCTCATCGCTTTCTCCCCTGCCGTGGCCTCGTACCAGCATGCTTTCGCCGCTGACAGAGCCGGGGCGCAGGAGCTGTCTCCTGCGGAGATGCTCGTTAAGAAGACGACTGACATGCAGGTTGGCTAGTAGTCTAGTGGCAGACGTGCGTCTTGCACCCTGTGCGAATGGGTATTTGTGTACGCTTGTTGGAGAGATTCGTCTGATGTTTGTCGTGCGTTGTCCGCGTTGCACGTGGCGCTCATTATAATAGCTGCTACTGCTGTACCAATCTACTGTAGGCTGCTGTCGCGCTGCCAGGATATTTGACTTGGACAGCAGTGAAATTGGCCATCGGAGTAAGAGAGTGTGCGACGGTTTTGAGATTCTTTTTTGGACTAAAGGGTATGAGCGGGGGTTTGACCCACCCCCACTTGACAACATAGATGACGCAGCATGCAGCATACCACCTCCTCCCTGTTCCACGGACGAAACTCAGAGGAACGCCCAGTTTCCCATTTCCGGACAGCCGGGAAGAGTCTGACGGAAAGCACCGCGACAGCACGTGGTGCGGAAACTCTTGTTGAACAGTCTGCTGGTTGTCTTAGCGTTGCTCCTTTTCTGGAAAAGTACGCACAAATAATAAAAGGAAGACTACTGCATTACTGCTGTACAACTCAATCGAGACAATACCAACCCTATTCGAACGGGTCTGTTACATGTCTTCGTTACAGCACGGAGTGTTGGGGGAAACGTGCTGGTATCATGCGTGGTGGACTTATTTTGTTGCGGCATGCGCAAATCGCGATGTACTGCGACGTACTTCCTGACTTGCGTATGCATATGAGATTGATTGCATTGGCTTAAATTTCCACGGCAAACAGCAGCCGCTTTGATTTACAAGCAGTCGTGCGCGTCGCTACTGGCTACTGCTGTAGTACGGGTGTGTTTGAGTGCCCTGTTCAAATGGCTCCAGCAGTGTTGTCGTGCTTGATGTCCTCGCACCGTTGGTCTCGAGATCGTCTCTTGTCCTACACTCGCATCTGCTAAGAATCGTACGATGATAGATGTCTTCCATCTGAGAACACCCATCCTTTTCATGTTGTATTGGACTTTGCTCGCAATAAAGACCGTCTGCAACATAGATAATATGTTTGGTTCCCACAACGCGTCTTCAACAGCAGCGCGAGCCTGCAGCTTTAACCTCTTCTTGCTGCCGCTGTCCCTAAAACAGAGAAAGAGGCTGAAGGACGAGTCCCAAAAGCAGCTCCAGGGGGACGTCACTATGCAGGAAGGGGATCTTATCGCGAGGGTGAGATCGTTAAAACTTGGAGGCATGCATGTGGTTTCGATTTGGGCGCAAGCTGATGCACCACCCGCCGGCGTATTGGCTTGTTGGTAGTGCTTTGTACGCCGGTGTGTGCTCAGGTTAGGCCCTCCGTGTTCCCGCGTTGTGCCTCCGCACAAGCGATAGGTTTCAAGATCTGCGGGCTCTAAATGGGGCTACTATCCTTTTCATTGTCTCAACAATAAAAGTACAGCAGCAACAACGACTGACATGGCTCTCGCGGGCGCCGGCGGGAAAACTAACAATAAAGGTTCTGGTATCGATCAAGCAAGACTTGTACGACCTGGGGGCTCCGGACACGACCGGCTTTCCTGCGGTGGACACCGACGATGCGAGGCTGATCGTGGCCGCCTTCGGTAAGGACGGTCCGCCAGTGGCGGCGAAGCGGCTTGCCGTCAAGGGGAGGCAGTTCCCGGTCACGGTTGAGCTGACCGCGGACGACCTGGCCTTCCCGTTGACGAAGGTAACGAGGAGGGGGGTGGGGGGGGGGGGGGGGGGAAAATGTTTGTTTTTGGGAAACTTGGTGGTTGGGGGGGGCTGGGGGGAACTTTTTGTTTT